GGGAGCGCTGCTGCGCTCCCAGCACCGCACTCTCCTGAGTGCACCACGGGCTCGGCCCAAGTATATTTTTAATAAATTTGTCTAACAAATTGGGTATTAAACACAGCATGAAGTTTCTAAAATTTTAGGATGAATTTCAAATAAAATTCAGATCGCTACAACCTACAGGCAAAATAGGTGAGACACGGATTGAAGTCCCATTAAAAGGAAATGTGTACAACTGCATGCCATATTCTTTAACACCATCAAACAGTACAGTGCATTTTCTGTTATCACATGATATGAACGAATGGCTCAAAAATTATTTGAAGGAGATTGAATGTGGCTTTTGTTTTACCTGGGTTTCATAAGTCTGTAAATTATGTTTGAAAATGTTCTCTTTGTGTTCATTTACAATGAAAGTCCTTTGAGAGTACAGTAGTCAGTGACTTACTTTTAGGTACTTTATACTTCTTCAAGCATTTTGCTTTTTTCACCATGAAGATGAATAAAGACGTCATTGAGAAAAGCCAACGAATAATGTCCTGGTTTATAATTTCTTAAACTACATAGATGTTCCCAAGTTTAAATTATAGTTAAAGAAACTTGTTTTAAGATGATTTCAAATTAAAATAGGTGGTGACAGGAGGTCCATAAAATAAGGTCTCTTAGTAGGGATTATTAAAAGCAAATTTTATCCACATATTAACTTCAAATAAGTATACTACTATTAGTCACACATTCTACTAGCATAACGTAAGTTCACTTTATTTTCAATTATGATGTCCCGATTTTATTTCACATAATTGACTGATGGAAATAAAAATCAATTAAATAAACAACTGATTGAAATAAATTATTTACCTTTTGGCTATTTTATAAAAATAAATCCTAAATAACAGAAATCAGTTTACTTTAAACCATTGAAAATAAACCAACCTACAAAAAGAAGGTCTTTTTTTCATGTTTCCTCAAGTGGCCTTGAATACTGGAGTTTCTATGTTAAACCACATCCCACCACTACTGAACACTGATATCTGACATTTATCATAATGCTGATTAAATTATCCACTTGGGTTCAGAGAGGAAAATTAAAAAGTAACCCAGTGAGCACGTGCATAAAAAAATAAGTAACATTTTCAGTCCCTATTTATCTCAAAGTTCTTCTAAAGAAGAGACAGTAAAACTTTTAAATATCCAATTATGATGTTTTTGGAAGACAAAACAAGTGGGGATAAAAGGTAGTAAATCCGGCTTGTATACTGAGCAGTGCTCCAAGGAATTAAAGCTTGCTAAGAATCAACAGAACTTTCCATAGACACATGCTGCAAGGATCATAGACTCATGTTGGGTTATAAAACCATTTTTATAATTTATTCCTTCATTTTTGCTATTCTGACTTTTAGACAAAAGGAATCACACAATAAAGTATGAATGAAATAATCAAGGGCAACTATTTCAAAATAAAAATGAAACACCTGAAAACTAAGAAAGATATTCTCAGAACATAATGTTTGAGAACAAAAAGAAGTTCTATTTACCACATTTGCTGCTTACTAATGTTCCTCTTATTTTGTTATGCAATAACAGGATCTCATTTAGAGACTCTGGCAGCATAACATGAGTTCATGATATCTGCGGTTGTAATGTCCTAACCAAATTCATATCGTGATTCAAAGTCACACAAACAACTTTAGCCAATAGTTAGATTTTTACAATGCACAGCTCTTCATATGGATCCAAACAAGAAACAAATGAAAAAGAGAATAAACCACAGCTGTTTCCCTCAGTTCAGCAAAGAGGTGTAATCAGATGTAGTTAAAGTTGACTTTAGATAAATCAGCTACTCAGTTTTGTGTGTCAGTTCAGATGGATTTAACTGGTTAAATCAAGAGAGGAACAAAAATCTATCTGGGTTTTTTCCCAACTGTAAGTTATTCTAAACTCGTGGACTTTGAAAATATACTCTGAAGCTTTATTTAAAAAAAAAAAAAAAAATCTTTAGATGCCTGCTCAAACATAGTATACACTGTATTTTCAAGAGTTCATTCAATTAATACTTTATGATGATCTGTTTTTGCTTGCAAAGAATGTCAACTGGATGATTTAAATAAAAGCAGAAGAAATAAAGGCAAGAAAAATCACAAATGTTAGAGCAATACGTTGAAAAGGCTGAAGAGGTCTGGACCTGGTAGCTGAAAAGTTGAATTATTATTGATTCAGGTCTAACCATAGATGACCTGCTACAACTTGGAAGGAGATACTCAGAGTAACTGAAACCAAGCACCAGTGTTCAATTGATTCATGAAAGGTTTGAGTTCATTATTTACTTATATGAGTTCTCTTATGTTTGATAAAGAATTTAGTATACAACTTCTAGGCTAGGATTTTCTGGAATTATTAAGGTTAAGAACTGATGATGATGGCCAGCCCGGTGGCGCACTGCTACAGTGCGCCGCTTGGGAGCACGGCGGCGCTCCCGCCGAGGGTTCGGATCCCACATGCAGACCGGTTCCCGCTCACTGGCTGAGCGAGGTGCGGACGCAGCGCTGAGGGTTGCGATTCCGTTGCCGGTCCCGGTCCGGTACGGGCGCGACACTGAGGGTTGCGATCCGTTGCCGGACACGAAAAAAGACAAAAAGGAAAAAAAAAAAAAAAAAAAAGAACTGATGATGTCCCTGATGACTAGAAAGACTATCTTTGAAGAGATAGACTTTCCATGCAAGCAACTAAATTGTCCCCAGTAATTAAGAAAAAAGTGGTTCTAACCCTGTTATGAAGCAATCACTTAAAAGATCAGCCTTATTTAAATTATTTGTGTAAAAAGAAATAATCTCCACTATACTTGTCCTTATGTATGAGAAGGATTACTCTTTGTTTGTTTCCTTTAATATTTTTGAGAATCAAGCACATTTCCGTAGCATGTGTTTCAGGTCATACATGAGGGTCCTTCAAAAAGTTCGTGAAAGAACAGAATTTAAAGGTAATATGAATCTTCCCGTGAATTTTTGAAGTACCCTCATATAAGTCAATTATTATTCAGGAAATTTAACAGCCTCAAAACAATTTTTCCAAAAGTAAATACCATTTTTTTTGTAAAAGAGAACACTTCAGTTACTCACAGGCCCTGCACTGACATGTGAACCCCTGTATTATGTTTGATTCCACTGCTCCTCAGAAGTCAGGATTTTGTGAGCTTCTTGGTGTCTCCTGGGATATAAAGTACATTCCTCCATTTACGTTCCTCCCCATCAACGTTTGAAGAAATAAAAATAATAATGAATTTTAAAAGTTACATAAAATTTTCATTGGTAATAAGAGTGTTACAATTACTTGGCAAACTGTACATAGCTGTAAAAAGTAGCCATGAAGATGAATTGAAACCAGATGTCCTGGGTTCAGTTCTCAGTTCAGCCTTTAACTAGCTGCCTGATCTTAATTTCTGTGTCTCAGATTTCTGTTCTGTAAAATAAGGTTGGTAACAATACATCCTTTATAGGATTATGGTGAAAATGATTTGAGATAATTTTTAGAATGACAAATAGCACATTTAGAGATGTTCAAAAATGACTAAGTATTGTTTTTAAGAATTATTATTTAGAAACACTGTACAGATAAAGTGGAGTGCAAAAAATAACATAATATTTATAAGATTGGACTCTACATTTTTATACTTAAGGTCATGGAAAGTTGAGTAGTAAAACCCATGTCAGAAAATTTGACGTTTTCATTAAAATATCTATGTTTTGAATTTGGGTATATATTCTCTTTCATTCATTTGATCTATGGATTTAAAAATACCTTCTTTAGATACCTGCACATACATTATACCGTATTTTCAAAGCTGACTTATCTGATGACTTACAATGTATTTGTTTTACTTGCAAAAGATGTCAACTGGATGAATTAATTTTATTTATGTATTAATTCTGAAATTCAGCTAAATTGACTTAGCCAAAGAATAATCTTATCATACCTTAGCACAGTGGAAGTTGATAGAAGCTTTATGACCAGCTCTTCGAAGTGCAGAAGGATAAAAGTGAACAGATATCTCTTTGGTGTTGTGAGGAGGTATGATCAGCTGTGAAAATTTAGGAAAAAGCAACAGAGAAAAAAATCAATATTTAAAAAAGACGTATGTATTTCTTAACTGACAGGTTCTGGTGATACGTATATATGGGGTAAAGAATTATATTTCAATGCACACATGCAGTGTGTAATTATCAAATCAGGGTATTTATCAAATCAGGCTAAAATTTATCATTTCTTTGTGATGAGAGTATTTGAGCCCCTCTTTTCTAGTCATTTGAGAACAATGAATACAATGAATTATTTTTAATTATAGATGGCTACCACTAATGTAGTCCACTAGAAATTACTTTTCTTATCTAGCTGTAGTTTTGTATCCAAAATCAATATTTTTGTTTGAGTCAACATCTTTATGTGCTAGGTATATTCAGGGCTGATGTTTGGTGATTAATGTGTTGCCTTACTTGAGTCTGTAGAGTATTAATTTGAGTGACTTCTTTAGAGATTGTGAAGGAAGCCCGTGATTCCATCACAATGTAATGAGGGCTTGATTATCTTATGTCATCAAAATGCTACACTGGGACCAATATAATATGTAATATCAACACTTATAGAATGAGAGAATGAATGACACATGTCTGAAAATTAAGCCAGTTATTTTTCACTAGTTAATTTTGGCAGATAATCTTCAAAAAAGCCACAACTTCAATTTAGCAGTATCATTAAATCCTTGTAGAATATAGCACTTGGTGTTTAATAAACTCTGATAATGACCATGAAATGCTAATGAAAACTTAATATTATATTTCCATCAGAGTCACCTTCTTACTATATATGTGTGGTTTATCTACTGCAAATATTTTGATCTCAGGTTGGCTCTCTTTTTGATACTTCAAATATTTTGAGGTTATCATTTAATATACACTTAAGGATTGTAAGTTAACTTCAATATCAGCCTTACCCCCACAAATAAGAAAAATTGCATTTCATATAATCTTTCAACTTAGCAAATATGAAAAAAATAGTTTATTCTTTCTATGGATAATGATACTGATATTTATATCTTTCCACCTATCTATAGAGAGAGAGAAGAAAGAATACCATATATTGAATTGGAAAGATTATAAAATACTACATTAATTTGTTTTTTAATTCTAGTTCTTCCATTTACTAACCATGCGATCTAAATATTTTAGCCTCTCGCTTCAAATTCCTCTTCTGTAAGCAAAAATTGAGGTAGTGTATCAAGCAGTAATTCAGTTAAAAATCTTTTATTTCCACCTAAAACTCACTGACATTCACTGAAGAATGTTATCCCCACAGTTTTAAGGAAGTAAAGATAAACACCACTGGTAGGCATTTAACAGCAGCAAACCTACTAGTTTAGTGTAATGGAATATAGCTAATATGTTAAAAGTAGGACCATTTTGAACTTAAAAACATTTCATTTCAAGTAAATGTCATCATGAGAAACATTCCAATGTGTGAGTTTGCACTGGATCCTAGTTTAGGAGGGAAAGTTAATCTTGTGACAGTTGAGTAAACTTGAATTCAGATGGATACTAGATGATCTTAAGAAGAAACACAAAAAGTACTCATGATTTGTAATGATGGACATGATAATAATATTGTTTTGATCACCACATACTGTACACAAATACTGATAGTCAACTCTGTACCCCATAAATACATATAAATATTTTTTTTAAAAGAACCAAAAAAGATATGTAATCTGAACTAATTAGGTTGAAATATCATGAAGCCTGCAACTTACTTCCAGTTGAACAGTAAGAAATATGAGAGGGAAGTAGGAGACAGAGAAACATGTGGAAATCATTAATAATATATGAACTAAGGTGGAAGGTATAAGGTTGTTCACTGTAGTATTCCTACAACTTTTGTATCTGTTTGAAATTTTTCATAATATATATTTGGAGGGAAGCAAGTATTTTATATCATTATTTGGCTTCATAATAATTATATGCTTATTTATTGAAGTATTTATGAGTTAAAAACAATATTTAAAAATCCTTATGTGGGGCCGGCCCGGTGGTGCACTGCTGCAGTGCACCGCTTGGGAGCACGGTGGCCCTCCCGCCGAGGGTTCGGATCCCACATACAGACCAGTTTCCGCTCACTGGCTGAGCGAGGGGCGGGTGCAGCACCGAGGGTTGCGATCCCGTTGCCGGTCCCGGTCCGGTACGGGTGCGACACTGAGGGTTGCGGTCTGTTGCCGGACAGAAAAAAAGACAAAAAGGAAAAAAAATAAAAAAATAAAAATCCTTTTGTGAACACAAATATTATGCAATGAAAGCCAAGAGTAAAGGTTCACATTCATATACATGTATATATACATATATAATTATATAAATACATATATTGCTTATATACTTGTTATTATATGTTATTTTATTAATAGTATATATAATTTGTCAATTTATTATCATTATCATTATCTGTGCTCCTATATGTTTTATAATATATAATGCTATTTTTTGATATATAACTTTTTGAGTTGATTGCATATTCGGTGCTAATTAGTGTTAGTTGAATACTTGGTGCTCAATAGTGTTTGAAAAATAAATAAAAGAACGAATGGACTAGAAAATCATGGTTGGAACTGTTAGAACAGAGTCTGTATTCTTAAGTATGCAATGTAAGTTGACATCTGCAATATACTGCATTTTTTTTTCCCTTGGACCACAGAATAGAGTCTTCTCTAGAAGCAGAGATATAAAAGATATAAAACACCATTTTCTAATGAGGAATTTTAGTTACATGTAAACTGTATTCTGAGCATCATGTTCTGTATAAATTATGAGAAATATGATGTTAAGTGATACAAGCATGTGTGTGCATTTCAATAAAGTTTTCTGAGATTAAAATGTATACACTAAATTTACCAATATAATAATTAGTGATTTCTAATTTGGCATATTATGTCAGCTAAGAGCTAATCTCATATTATGATATTAGTTGGCAACTAGTGGTTGACAAGAGAAAGATGTTAAGATAGAAATAAAGAAATCAAAGTAAAGATTTATTAATCATTAAATGGCATATAGTAAAAGCCTTTATTTAAAGACCATGTCTACTAGCAGGGCTTCATGATTTACCATGAGATTTCCTAATGAAAATAATCTATTGTAATTACCTTTTTTTTTTCCTTTTTGTCTTTTTTCATGACCAGTAACAGGATCGCAACCCTCAGTGTTGCACCCGTACCGCGACCGGCAATGGGATCGCAACCCTCAGTGTAGCGCCTGCACCATGCTCAACCAGTGAGTGGACCGGTCTCTATATGGAATCTGAACCCTCAGCAGGAGCGCTGCCGCACTCCCAAGTGCTGCACTCAACTGAGTGCGCCACCGGGCTGGCCCGTAATTACCTTTTTGAAGTTTATCTGAATGTATGTGGTTTGGCATTCACTGTAAATAACTGATGTTCTATGCTTTGGAAACATAGATAGTGATGCCACAACTTATGATCGTATTTTGTAACTTGGAGGAAGAAGAAAAGTGATTTGGGCCCATTGACTGGCACTAGTCTCTGCCAGGACCTAGGAATGAGAAAATGTGATAGAGGAAAGAAGAGAGATGGGCAGAACTTTCTGCACTGTTTGGAACTGTGTGTAGGGAGTGGGGGGTGGGTAGAAACTCAGGAAGGGCTAGAAAAGAACTGGTCTCTTGGGACCCTGGAAAAGTATGATAACTTGAGTTAAAATCATATTACTGGGAAACTACTACTGATTAATAAAATGGTCAAAGTAAAACAGAAGCAGGTCATCTAGAATTCAGTGATAATGAGCATGACTGTAGCATACATAATCTCAAACACTTAAATTAACATGATATTGTTTTATCAATTTCTTAAATTCAGGAGGAGATGTATACAAGAGAAAATTCTATTTTTAAATTTTAGGAATTTAAAAATGTATTAATAATTCAAATAATACTTCACAAGTATCCCAAAATCAGAATTAGAAAATGCTCTAGTAGCAGTAGGCTCATAGCTTTTGAATGCACTTACTGATGATCCTCTGTTAACATCCTGGGCAAAATTTTCAGAATTACTGTTTGTTGCTTGCAATTCTAAAGTTTCATGTATAGGATTAACTAAGGGAATGATCTGAGTGGCATATCTGGAGAGAAAAATAAGCTAGTGAAGTTGCTGGTATTCATAAACTCGCTCAATGATAATTTCATAAACTTGTTGATGACTATGAATTGAATTGTGTCCATAAAGTATATGTGGAAGTTCTAACTCCAAGTATCTCAGAATTCGATGTCATTGGAATTAGGGTTGCTTCATATGTAATTAGTTAATGTGAGGTCATACTGGTATAGGGTGGGCCATTTATTCATTATGACTGGTGTCCTTATAAGAAGACCATGTGAAAACAAACAAGATGGCCATAGCACAATGGAAGAAGAGATTCAAGTGATATATCCACAAGCCAAGGAAATCCAAGGATTGCTGGAAAGCGCCGGAAGATAAAAGAGGCAAAGAAGAATTTTCTTTTGCAGGTTTCAGAAGGAACATGGTCCTGCTGGCACCTTGATTTTGAACTTAGCGTCTAAAACTGTGAGACAATAAATTTATGTTGTCCTTAAGCTACCCAATTTTTGGTGGTCATTATGGGAGCCCTAGAAAATTAATAACATGACTTTTATGAGTTTCACAATAGGAATAATCATTTACAAACTAATGACATTTTGCTAAATTAAATAATCCTTGATTCTGTTTTTATTTTTGAGACCATATGTTATTCCATACTTGGTATTGGAATATATTCCTGTTTTAGGAGCAATGTTTATCCATTGTTTTATACCTGCTAAATCCAGCCAAAAGTCAACATACTCTAGAAGTAATAATAGAGTAATAAATTCACAAAATTTCCATTCACAACATTAACAAGATCCTAACTGCTGATGATGAGTAAATGACAAAAAAGAAAAAAAAATGGCTGGTATTTATACTCAAAGCAAAGAAACCACGAGGGTTCATAATTATCAACCAACCATCACATTTAATGGCTTTTGATGTACAGAATCCAAATTGTCATCTTGCCCCACTCCTTGGACATGGAGGGGAGCACCAGACCACGTGCTCTGGCCTGCACTAAAGTGAGCCTAGCAGAACTGTACAGCTAGAAGAGGCCTCTCTACACTCCTTGGGCCTGGAAGGGAGCATCAGCCCACAGGGTCTGAACTGCTGAGGTGAGCCCAGCAGAACTGCAAGGTGCTAGGGGCTCACGCTATGACCAAAGATTCTGCAACAGGACCCAAGGTGGTTTAAAATAACCACCACCACACATGCTCTCAAGCAAAGACAATTCACCACCACAGTAGCAACCACGGCCACTCCACAGCAAACCTCAGTGTAATAGAAGAAGCAAACCCTCTACCAAATGACCAAACATGAGCAAGAACAAAAAATACTAGAAGGTACAAACCAACAAGAAGAAATGACACCACCAAAATAATACAGTAATGCACCAAAGTCAGACTCCATGAAACAGAATCCTTGAAACGTCTGAAAAAGAATTTTGTGCAACAATCATAAGAAAACTTGAAGAAATAAAGGAAGACTCAATTAGAGAACACAATGAAACAAGAAAAAAATATCCAGAATATGAAGGAGGAAATCTACAAAGAGATTAATGTCATAAAAAAGAGTGTAGCAGAACTTCTAGAAATGAAAGATTCACTCAATGAAATTAAAAAAAAAAAAAAAAACAAAACCAAGAGCATAGCAGCAGGTTAGAGCAAGCAGAAGAAAGAATTTCTGATCTCAAAGATAGTCTTTTCAAAATAACAAAGGTGGATAAGTAAAAGAAAAAAGAATTTTAAAAAAATGACAAAAATCTAAGTGAGGTAACAGACAAACTTAAGCACACACACATCCAAATGATGCATGTTTCGGAAAGGAAGGAAAGGAAAAGGTGTTGAAAACCTATAAAAAAAAAAAAAAAAAAAAAAAGAAAGAAATTAAAATAACGAGGAAAATATAAGAAAGATAGCAGACAATCTCAAGCCCTCTAACATCTGAATTGTGGGTATTCCTGAAGAGGAGGAGAAAGTAAAAGGTATTGAAAACCTACAGAAGGAAATAGTAACAGAAAACTTCCCAGGTGTAGAGTAAGATACAGACCTTCAGGTCCAGGAAGCTCAAAGGTCTCCAAACAGACTCAATCCAAAAAGATCTTCTCAAAGACACATTATAGTTAAATTTGCAAAGCTCAAAGACAAAAAGAGAATTCTATAAGCAGCAAAAGAAAAGCATCAGGTCACTTATAGGGGAGCACCCATCAAACTAACAGCAGACTTCTCAACCAAAACCCTACAAGCCAGAAGAAAGTGGAATGATATATTCAAAATACTAGAAGGGGCCGACCCGGTGGCGCACTGGAGAGTGCGCCGCTTGGGAGTGCGGCAGCGCTCCTGCTGAGGGTTCGGATCCCATGTGGAGACCGGTTCCTGCTCACTGGCTGAGCGCGGTGCGGGCGCAACACCGAGGGTTGCGATCCTGTTACCGGTCAGTAAAAAAGACAAAAAGGAAAAAAAAATGCTGGAAGAAAAAAATTGCCAGCCAAGAATTCTTTACCCAGCAAGGCTCTCCTTCAGTAATGAGGGAAAAATCGTGTATTTCCCAGATAAACAAAAGTTGTGGGATTTCACCACCACATGACCAGCACTGCGAGAAATTCTCAAGGGAGTCATTCATCTGGAATCTGAATAATGTTGACCACTATCACAAATACACAAGAAACAGCAAAACCCACTGTTAAAACAAAAATGCCAATAAGAAAGAGAAAGAAGCTAAATCATCCCACCTTAAATTCCCAACTAACATTGGAGAAGAGAAATAAAAGGGAAAATAATGATCAAAAGATATTTAAGCCATCTAAACAAGAAGCAATTAAATGACAGGAATTAAGCAACACTTGTCAATAACTACCCTAAATGTGAATAGACTAAACTCCCCATTCAAAAGACACAGACTGATTGGATTAAAAAGCTACAGCCAAGTATATGCTGTCTTCAGGAGACCCATTTCACCTATAGAAACAAACAAAGACTAAAAGTGAAGGGATGGAAAAAGATATACCATGAGAATGGAAACCAAAAATGAGTGGGAGTAGCTATTCTTACATCAGACATAATAGACTTTAAACCAAAAAACGTAAAAAGAGACAAAGAAGGTGACTATATAATGATAAAGGACTCTATCCAGCTAGAAGACATAGCAATCATAAACATGTTTGCACCCAACACTGGAGCACCCAGATACATAAAGCAAACATTCTTAGGTCTAAAGAAATAAATAGGACCTAATATATTAATAGTGGGTGACCTGAACACCCCTCTCTCAGTACAGGACAGGTTTTCCAGGCAATTAATCAACAAATAGACACAGGATTTAAACTGCACCATAGACCAACTGGATTTGGCAGATGTATAAAGAACATTTCATGCAACAACTAAAGAATACACATTCTTCTTATCAGCTCAGGTATGTTCTCCAGGATAGACCACATATTAGGTCACAAATCTAATCTCATTAAATTTAAAAAATATTGAAATCATTCCAACTATCTTTTCAGACCACAATGGAGTAAAATTGGAAATAAACAATAAGCAAAACTCTGGAAGCTATACAAATACATGGAAACTAAATAGTAGGCTCCTGAATGACCTATGGGTCAAAGAAGAAATTAAAGAGGAAATCAGAAAATTTTTAGAAGCTAAAGAAAATAAAGATACATCATACCAAAACCTTTGGTATCCTGCAAAAGCAGCACTAAGAGGCAAATTTCTTGCAATAAAAGCTTATATCAAAATAATGGAATGACTTCAAATAAACTACCTAACACTGTGCCTCAAAGAACGGTGAAAAACAGCAAACCAAATCTGAAGGTAGTATACAGAAAGAAATAATTAAGATCAGAGAAGAACTAAATGAAATAGAGACCCAAAAAACAATAGAACATATCAACAAACAAAAAGTTGTTTTTTAGAGAAAATAAATAAAAAAAAAAAAAAAGAAGAGAGAAGATCCAAATAACAAAAATCAGAAATGAAATGGGAGACATTACAACTGATACCACAGAAATACAAAGAATCATTAGAGACTATTATAAACAAAATTGTATGACAACAAATACAAAAATCTGGAAGATATGGATAAGTTTCTAGACACATACAAACTACCAACACTGAACCAAGAAGAGATAGAAAGCCTGAACAGACCGATAACAAGCAAGCAGTTTGAAGCAATAATTAGCAATCTTCCAACAAAGAAAAGTCCGGGTCCAGATGGTTTTACAGATGAATTCTATCAAACTTTTAAAGAGGAGTTAATACCAATTCTCCTCAAACTATTCCAAACAATTGAAATAGAAACTACTGTCCCAAACTCGTTATTTGAGGCCAACTTAAATCTGATACTAAAACCATATAGATAAAACACAAAAAGAAAATTATAGGCCAATATCCCTGGTAAATCTATATGCTAAAATCCTCAACAAAATATTAGTAGTCAGAATACAGCAACATTTAAAAAAATTAGACACTATGATCAAGTGAGATCCATCCCAGGGATGCAGCGATGTTTCAGCATATAAAAATCAATAAATGTGATGGATCACATCAACAAATTCAAGGACAAAGACCATATGATTATCTTAGTAGATGCTGAAAGCACATTTGACAAAATTCAACATCAGTTCATGATCAAGACTCTCAACAAATTATAGAAGGAAAATATCTCAACATAATTAATTCCATTTATGACAAGCCCACTGCCATTAGTTCTCAATGGGGAAACACTGAGGGCCTTTCCCTTAAGAGCAGTAACAAGACAAGGATGCCCACTCTCACCACCTCTATTTAACATATTACAAGAGGTACTAGCCAGAGCAATCAGGCAAGAGAAAGAAATACAAGGAATCCAGACTGGAAAAGATGATGTCAAACTTTCTCTATTTGCAAATGACATGAGAGTATATATAGAAAAACCTAAAGGTTCAATCAAAAAACTCCTAGAGCTGGCAAGTGACTTCAGTAACATTGCAGGATACAAAATAAACGCCCCCAAATCAGTAGCATTGATATACTCAAATAATGAATTAACAGAAAG